CGTATTTGAAAAAGTAATAAGCAATCTCAATTTTTTGCTCGACTAGCTATTTTAGTAGGATGACTTGGCTGAAGTTATTCATTGATAAATATAGGTGAGAGCATAGTACCACCCAGATTTTTCAATGATAGTTTTATTTCGGTTAGGAATGGTGGCTAAATCATGTAATTCTGCTACCTTCATTTGAAATAATTTTTTACATATTCAAAGTTTTTATAAAAAACAGGTTAAAGGTTCATCAAATATATTTCAGTTTTATCCAAAATGGGCTTCTTTGACCTTTGCCTTTCATGAGCAATGGTGCTCTAAAAGTGCTCCACTCACCATTCAATAGAAAAATTAATATATTTATTAAAACTATTCTTATTACTATAATTTAGTACTTAATCTTTGTTTATCAATCGAATCTTTTTTTTCTTTTCTTCTTTTTTAAAACTTTTTTAACATTGAATTTTTCCTTCTAAATTAATTTAAATTTAAATCTAATCTAATTTATCTCTATTTCTCCGTCTTTGACAGGAGTAAACCTGCCATAATGTCAAGAATCCAGGTGGCTGCTGGGGACTCATCTGTATCCCGAGTGACTATGGTGAAAGAGCCAGGTCTGTTTGACGCGACGTCCGCGTCTCCCGACTTCTGGACCTGTGGTACATGCAATAAATATACAGTCCGAGTGCAATAATAAGCAATAACAATAAAATAAAATTCCAAGGCACAAATATAGTTTGTTTGTAAGCGCGGTGAGGTGCTGGCTATAGCTGCTTAGAACGTCAGAACGCTTCTAAATACTACCGCGTGGATGTGGCTTGTTTGTCGGAGATCCGTCTTTCTTATTTTAGCTCTTGAGTAATTATTAAACCTTGTTCCGAGCAAAGATATTGGCACATTAATGTGATATCTCGGATAATTCGGGGGTACGAAATGGCATAGCGATTATCATGTCTGAAAAGGCTCGACGCTCTGACTAAGTGGAAACCAGTAAATGACTGTATGGTCTACGCACGTTTCAAACGAAAATTCTACAATATTTCGGCATGCATATGCTCAAATTTTATGCGTAGATGACGCGATAAGAATAAGTTCTAAGCGGAGCTTCAACTGTTAGCAATATCTTTACCGAGAAGTGACATGGTCATAATCGTGGGAGACTGGAAACATGCAATTAAGGTTAATTCATGCAATTAAGGTAATTGGCAAATATGGCATCGGGGTACAGTGCACCAGTGGAGAACGCCTTCTTCCGAAGGCGTTCTGCCGAAGAGTATGAACTTTGTTATATGCTTTCGGCATAGGAGGAAACATCTAGTCACATGGAACTCTCCTGATGACCAATATTCCAATCAGATTGACTGCATATTAGTCAGTCACACTGGAAGACTTTTTTACTTGATAATCGGGACGCTAAAACTGGTAACTCAAACTGCCATGAATCAGATCATGTTATGGTTCGATTCGATTAAAACTGGGAAGTCATAAGAAATAGCAAATCCCAAGATCTTTCAACTTCCTCAGGTTAAAAAATCCGGAAACGATAAGCATTAAAACCGCATTATTAAAACACCTCAGTGAAATAAGGTCAGTGACATTTCTGGAAAGGCGAATGAATACTGGTCCCAACTAAAAACATGCCTACAAAAGTTAGCACTTCCACACTAGGATATACTAGTGGGAAGTGGCCTAGTTGGAAGTCGAAAGCGAACTGTCCAACTGTCTGAAAAGGTTGCCAAATCTGAATATCAGTAGATTCTCACTATCGGTTCAAAATTACGAAGAATTTCAACGACAGCAGCAATGCGGAATATAAATCGCTATTGGAGCGATATGTCCTTGAGAATGGAGACGGCGGTTCGGATAGGTGATATTAGGGAATTGTTCCGCATTTTCCGCAAAGCGACTATAACTCGAGAAGGAGTTAGTGAAATGATACGCGATATTAATGGGGTTCCTATTAAAGCTGTTAAGAATTGCCTCAGAAGTTGGAAAGAATTTTTGAGACCAAACTTAACCATGATGCGCCATCTGAATATAACTGATTTACCCGTCGAGCCTTAAGTTTGCAACTGCCAACTGAAAAGGAAATAATTTCTGTAATCCATAAACTTAAGGCCAATAAAACTCCTAAAGATGATGGTCTCAAACTCTTGTCCAGTAGTCTTCAAATATTGTCCATGATCGTTCATAACTCACCTTCAATAAATGTATTCTTTATTATGTATTATTGTATTTTTTATGGGAATACAAAAGGAAATAATACCAGAAGTCTGGAGCAAACAATTCTACTTCCAATTCTTAAGAAAGGTGACACGATGTACTGCGACAATTGCCTAGGAATCAATCTACTAGACATCTCCGGAAAAATTTTTCTCTTCCCTTCTGCTAAATAGATTTATGGCAACACAAAATGGGTCCTAACCAAGCTGGATTCAGACCGAGACGACGTGCTGACGAGATATTTATGCTAAGAAGGGTGCTGGAACATCGTTTCAAAAATCAGCAACCGTCACTTGCTTTATCGATTTTGCAACTGCCTTCGATTCGCTTGATAGAGCAGCGCTCTGGAAAGTAATGGAATATGACGGTGTCTCAGAGAAGATATTTTATCAGCATACCCTGGCGCAGGTCTGTATATATGAGGAACTGACAGACTCGTTCGAAATAAGAACTGGTGTCCTCAGGGCTATCTATTTTCTCCTACAATATTCAACAACGTGATAGACTAGATAATGACCATCGCTTATTGGCACTCAGGAGATATGCAAATCAGTCCAGAACGTAGCATGACAGACCTTGAATACGCTGATGATGTAGTGATGTAGCTTTTTGCTGACAGTTATGAGGAAATGCAAATAATGTTAAACAATATGTCAACAACTGCAGCGAGAATTGTACTCAAAATGGAAATGGAAATTGTAAATAGAACGAAAGTTTTTCGTCTTATATACAAGATGCAGATAAAATACTTATTTTCATCAATTCATTGCCGGTTAAGGAAGTGCTGGACTTAAATACCTTGGATCCACTCTAATCCCAAATGGCAAAGGATAAAATTATAACCTAGGTAACGAAAGCTAGAAATATGTTTTTCCTGTTAACGAAATCTTTATTGAACCGTCGCGAAATCACCATAAAGATGAAAGTCCGAATCCATATAGTTCGTTTGATCTTGCTATATGGCTGCGAAACCTGGCCAATGAGAGTGAAAGATATTGAGAAGCTATTAGCCTTTGACCACTCATGTCAAGGGCATTTTACGTCGAGCATATTATTGTATCCATCTTCGCTCAAATACCACCTGTATTATAATAATATTATTGCAGAGCATAGCCTTCGCTGGTTAGGGCATGTTCTTCATCATCCACCACAGAAGTTAACGTATATTTCGATACTTCCTAAACTCTGTGATGGTTGATGTCAAAAGCGAGGAGGTCCAATTAAGACTGATGTAGATATATGGACCGATACAGTCAGGAAAAATTTTGAACATATAGGAAGACCAGCGATATATGGACTTTGTCGGTGGAAAAAGGAATGGCTTCTATTACTACTAGCAGTGGTGTCGGACCGGATAGCTTGGAGATGTCTTACCACTGTAGCCAGTAAAGTCAGCCTAACCAGTAATGATGAGAGGTGTTAAAAGAAAAAGTTTTATCCAAAATAGCATTATATTAATAGCAAAGTTATTATGAAACGACCAATTACTGCAACTGCCATTTGCACTTGCCTTCTTTTTCTTTTTTTACTTCATTATAAAATAAGTCAAATTGTGAATAGCGTCCACCATTTTTGGCTGGGCAAACTCTTACAATATAGTTATAAATTTTTTCCAGTGAGTCACTTAGCCATGGAAGTATAGGTGCTTTGCCAGCACCATCAGAATTTCTTAACTACAGTATTACCAAATGGCGAATGTTTACAACGTCTGCAAATAAAAAATAAAAACGTGTTTGAACTATCAACTCAACGCAGTAGTTCAAGTCAATGATCGAACAAAATCAATCAATCCTACAAATTCAACTTTTCAGGAATCACCGCGTTTAAAGGTGAGAACATTTTCTTGATCATCGAAGATCAGTGAATAATGTATAGTGAATTCAATTACAAGCTTTTAAGGAATGTACACATAGGAATTTGTACATAAATAAGAAAGGAATTGACAACTTCACACAACAACCAGTGGACAATAAAAGAAGATTAATGATGGCTGATTAAGAACCACCGAAGGACCAATGTGACGGATTTAATACAAATAATAACCTTCGATGGCTCACATAAACAAACAATTTAATTTAAGGAATGGATAAAGATCCGTTTGTAAGAGCCAAGAACAAAAGGTAAAATGCGCGCCGACTTCAGCGACGGGCAGATTTACTCCTGTCGAGATAGTAGCTGAGTCTTTTCCTCGAAACGCGATCTGATCTGAGCTACTATCCATCCATTCGCTATTTTTTCTATTGCAAGGCTTGCGGAATTTCAAATTAAATTGCTAATTAATTTAATATTTAATTAATTTCATGCGCTAATTCTATTAAACACAGTGGATTTGCAAATTTTTATGTTGTATTACCTTTAGTTTTATTTTGCTGCCAAAGGGCAAAGTAACCAACTTTAAGATTCCTTATTTTTTCTCCATTTTTCTCCATTTCTTTTTTTTTAAATTTTGAATTTCGAAACAAATTTTGGCAATCGATGAAGCGAATGATGAATCAACTTAAGCAGTACTTTGATAGAAATAAATTAGCAAACAGATATTTTTTATCAACTAAATGAATGATCAATTTATTTTAACGTAAAATCTCTAACAGTCACGCTTCTTAATCTTGTGAGACGCTGCAGAAGAATTTCGTTCTTATTTACCATTTTTAGGGATCAGTGATCCCCAGAAAGAATGAATTGCCTTGCATGACCTTGCGATTAAGATTAATTTTCACACTTCGCCATTACTCATTACTGTTATATTTCAATATTTTTTCGATCTCTTTAAGTTATAAATTATAGAATTCATGGAAAATTGGAAGTAAATGTGGCTGCTCATCATTTTTAGTTAGGCTCGCTTACATGATTTAGTATGTGGAAAGCAGAAGTCGAGTGATTTTCAAAACAGAAACCTGAGCTAACTATCACCTACTTTCTCATTAATAGAATGGTAGGTTAAGAAGTAAAATTGCAGAATTTTATCACGAAGAAACAAAATTACAAATTGCATACCTAAAGCGGTATTGAAGCGGTTTTGAAAATTAAAATGAGAATTGTATATTTATAAGTTCAGTGGTGCGAAAGATCTTTATGACCTTTCACAAATACTATGAACTGGTTTTAAAAAATTTTGCAAAAAAACGCACAAGATTGGTTGAAGTAAAAATCTTAATAAATAATGGAGCAAATGAAATCAATTTCTATAAATAAGTTCAATATTTAATTGGTTCATCCTATCATTACGGTTTGTTTATGCCTTTTTGTCCTTGCGCAAGTTATCGCTAGCAATCATTGGAATAACCATGTCCTTTTGGTAAAATATTAGAATAAATTCCTAAGGTAGCAACCTGGATGCATGGTATCATAAAGCTAAGGGTAGCCTTTAACCTGAGCCCTAATGCTCCCTTGAAGATTCGTGGATAGATTTCAAAAAATTTTAGATGGGAAAAAATTTACATTTACTTCCAGTTATATCCAGCTGAAAATCGTTATTTATGAACGTAGGTTATGATCAACAGCAGTAATAGTAGTTTGGGCAATATCTGGAACTATTAAGCTTGAATTCTGAAGGAGTTTTATTGCTCTTAGCATGTATTCTCCAAACTAAATTCACTGCATTCACTTAATATCATTCCTTGTGCTTGTTATTTAACAACGTTTGGATAGCTTTTTATAAGGCAAATTGTGGAAGGTGACAAATTTCGCAATTCTCGGATATACGAAGCATTTATCAAATAATACAAAATTATACAAAAAAAATAAAGTAAAAGTAATCAGTCGCAAACAATAAAAAGAATTTATTTAATATATGCATTCGGTTCGCTTAAAAACTAGAAATAAGCGAATAAGAATGTTTTTAAAAAATTGTTTAATTTGATAAACTTAAAAGTATTTGGATAATATGCAAAAAATACGATTATTGAAGAAAACTTGGAAAACATGATTAAGGAGATCTCTAATCTTACTGTGTTTTAGAGACAGCGATAGCTCCGGCGCTGGCAGTACAGTTGATCCACTGTTTTCGGACTACGACGAACAAAGTTGGTTTGATAGCGACAGTGGAGTTGCCAGTCCCGTACACGGCGATCCGGTAGCGCAAACACTGAATTTACTGACTAAGCCAGAAGCAATGGGCAATTTAGAAACACTTTTAAGGTTTATTTAAACATTTGAATTAGTTCAAATAAATTCTTTGAAAATTGAAAATGTCCCGAATTTTCTATCTTTTAATTACTTTATACTTTTATGCTGCACTTTTTTCTTAATTCAATTTTCGCATATCAATAGAAAGATAGCATTTAAAGCATACTTTAAAGCATTTTTTAGAAACTAGTCGCCAGTTAATTTTCCTGAGATCTGTAAAAAATTACATTTACTATTTTCTCTGGAATGTATATTGTGTTCACGAAATAAATATTCATAATCTTTAACGCAAATCAATTTTTTGGTGTCGTTAGACATAAAATTAAATAACTAGAAAACTGTGTTTTTAAGTAAGCGACATTATATTAAATCCATAGCAATTTATCTTTTCTATCTTTTCACGCCTCTATATTGTTTTTAGTAATAAAAGGAGTTAAGCTTTCATCAAAATCCAAATCCACCATTTAGAAAATTGGTTAAATGATTCTGATTTTTAAATACTTTCAACCCGTTTCTTGTGTCTTTGAGTAAAGTGATATTTATGAGAGTGAAATAACTTTAAATTTCAGCAGATTTTAGAAGAACTAAAGCTTATACTTTTTTATCCTTTTTTATTTTTTTTAAATGAACTCCAACAAAATGTTAGAAGTTTTTGCTTGACGGGCTTGGTTTATTTTATATGATTCCTTTAGTATTTTAAGGATTTCTGTGTTCTTTTCTTGCAATAAATGGATATCCAAATGAATGAACATATTTTAATTTTGATTATAATTTAACAATTTATATAATTTTTAATTATAATTGATATATATATATATATATATATATATATATAACATAATATATATATATATATATAACACTTTATAAAATTAAATTAAATTAGACGCTTTTGATCCCAATGTCAGTTATTAGACAGTGAAAGTTTTCAGTGATAAATATGGCTTAGTAAAAATCCTCGCCAATCGGCGTATTAGCAAAGGACCTTTTGTTGTAAAAAAAAACCTTTTGTTGTAAAAAAAAACTTCTTGAACAAAGGACTCTTCGGGATTTTTAGTAATGAATTAACTATTTAATATTCAGATTGCACTAAATTTATCTTTTTTTCTTTTTTTGTATAAAGATTCATATCGAATCTAATCTGATTTACATAAAAAATTACCTTATTTACCTTAAAACTACGTTATCTTAGGTGCAGTTATGAAATAATTATATCCTTGAAAAAATAATTTCTATACAATTTCCTCTTGTATAAAAAAGAATTTAATTTTGTATGTCGTTATGTAATATAAAAAATTCTTAAATTAGCAAATCTTTTATAATATCTGTCGCACAAAGTAACCAACTGGAATCACTCGAGAATGAAAATAAAAGTGGACATTCATCTTCACTATGATCTTCTCATTTTCAATTCGAGGCAGAAATCCACGGTGCTTGACATAGTAATAGTCGAGCCAATCGGCCACCAAAATATGATAAATTTTAGTAATTCTCTTGAACTTAAATAAACGTTAATGGTAAATAATGTTATTGTCAATATTAGAATAAAACGAATTGCCATCAGAAATCATATTTTTTTAAAAAAATTTATAAATCATATTTTATTTAAAAAATTTCATTTATGGTTCAAAATTACGTATCCTTAGACAAAATAAATGGCTTATCCTGAATTCAAATGCTCTTAATTATTAATTGAATTATTGAATTTAATAGAAACTGAAAGTAATTTCTTCATCCTTATAATGGCATTCCATTCATTTCCAAAAATGAATTAATGATTGATTGTTCCTAGGGATTCAAATAAGTATTGCTTTCATATAAGGAATCCTCAAATTGTTTTATTCTTTCAACGATAATGTTTATAAAATCGTTCAATATTTCTTTTAAACTAAATTCTTTAAAGTCCAACAAAGATGTGATAGCTGGACAAGAGTCGCTAAAGAGCAGTAATCAAAAGCCATACAAGGCTTTAATTTGACATCTCCTAGATTAAGAAAAGAACAAATGCATGCTAAGTACCAACAAAACAAGAAATGACCATCCTCAATAAATCTTTTTCGGCATCAGTAGTCAGCATTCTTAATTCATTTGATAATATGATGCTAAAAATAAACAATGAGAGTAATTCGTGTCGGAAAAACCGAAATAATAAGCATTTTCCCATGCTTGAAATCATAAATCATTTGTACATCCTGTACTTTTGTATGTGAATTTCCTTTGTAGCTTTGAGAATACTGTTAATTTGTATGAAATAATAAGCGTTTTCCCATGATTAAAATTAAAGTTGCTTACTTCCAGTATTTTAAATTTCCCTTGAGAAACTTGAGAATGCTGTCAACTTTTTTAAGAAATTATACTCTAATTATAAATTAAAATAATTAAAATCTCTTTACACATTCCTTTTAAAAAAACGAGAAGGAATGAGACTATAGAGCTGTTTTTATTCGATCGGTCAATTAGTCAGTCAGTTTCGACAATACGTCGTTTCTATTCGATCATAATCCTACTTTTCAATTCTTTATAATAATTGATATTATCTTGCATATCGTTATCGTTATCGTTATTATATTGGTATCTGGGTGGTAATAAAATCTACAGTTAGCTGTATATTTCAACTCTAATTTGTCGACGAGTACGCAAGTCACTTTTTTCAAAAATTTTAATTTTTTTTTTCTTTATTTATTGAAAACTAGCCAAGCAGGGCGCAGGGCCATGTGCTTGTATTAATAACATCAGTTAAAATGACAAATAATAAGAATTAATGACAAATAACAAAAAATAATAATATTAAAATAAAATAAACAATTTAAAAATGAAATAGAGAGGACATTGCAAAATAATTAAATATATTACAATTCGAGATAACTATAATCGGATGGTAAAAATCACGATTTTACATTTCCTTACATGCATGATGTGAATTCTTTAAATAATATCATAAATGATATTATCTTTTTTTTTTTTAAAGATAGCTAGGGATGGCGTACAAGTTATCGTTCGGTAATTTATTCCAGAAATTAATATTACTAATATTAATATAAAATTAATATTATTATTAATAATAATAAAGAAATTATGAGCCCTTAGTTTGGTTTTATACATAGATTTTAGTAATTTTAGCCCATTAGTTCTTGTTGGATTTAAATTTAACCTAAAATATTTTGAACAATCTAATTTAACCATACAAAATCTTATAAGTATAAATTAAATCTTGTTTAATAAGACGAACTGACAGAGAATCCAGGTTATATTGTAGAAATTTTCTTTTATAATTAAAATTGCAATTAGAGAGGCGGCGTATAAAATATTTTTGGAATCCTTCAATTATTTTACTTGATCTACGATATCTCGAGGAGTAACATGTAGTATTGTAGTCAAGAAGTGGCCGTACGAACGCTTTGTACATTTTGATAAGGAAATCTTCAGTTTTGTTCTTAAAAGAAAATTAAAAACTAAAATTAAATTAATTTATTAAATTAAATTAAAAAAACTAAAATTAAAAATTAAAAAAATTAAAATTTAGTATTTTTGAGGATTTCTTTACTATGGTTCTGAAGTGAAGGTCGAAATCGAGATTTTCATCCACGATTATACCAAGATCGGAAATGTGCGAGACTCTATTGATTATATTGCCATTAATAATAAGATTAGGAAAATTGGAACCTTTGGAATTGATATGAAGAACGCTACATTTTTGAAAGGAAAGGGTAATTTGCTGCTCATATAGCCAGCTGGCTATTCTGTTAAGATCCTCCTGCATTGGAGATAGGCTATCTGATCTACCATGAGAATAATAATTCTTACAATCATAGCATAAAGATAAATAGTAGAATTTAGTACTACATTGGTGACATCATTTATATATGATAGAAAAAGCAATGGCGCAATACAACTACCTTGGGGAACACTAGATTTAACAGGTTTTGTGTCAGAGAGAGTGTTGCTGATGACTTGGTGACGGTCTTTTATGGAATCTGATACCCAGTTATAAAGGGCTCCTGTAATGCCATAACTATTACTGAATTAACAAAACTTTTCACGACAGTTTGTATGTGGAAAAAATCGTAGACTTGAATCTGAATCATGTGAATATGAATAAATTTGATGAGTTAAAATCGGCTCTTCAACGGAGAAGCAGAATAGCAAAATGGTTATTGCCTACATTATTGCCTAAGGCATCACCTAAAATTGTATCTCCCACAAGATTAAACTTACCATTAAAAAATCCTCTGGCAATATTGAGAACCATCTTTACTATGCTTCTTCCAGTGATCCTCTGGCAAAATTTAATGAAATTTAATTGGTAAAATTTAGTGAAAAATTTGGTGTATATAAATAGATTTTGAGCAAATCAAATCTATATTATCGCGTCGAAATTTTTTGAATAAATAAAGTAAATTTCTTTCCAATATTTTTTAATAATTTTATATTATTGGCGGTAGGATGGTCGAATGGTATTCTGCTTTAGGAAATAATTTAATAGTATTTTGGCATTTTTAATTTGGCATTTTGATTATTTAATGATGATATTTTTGAAATTATCTTAAAGATTATCTTAAAATGTTTTCTCTTAGGACCTTTACGCTTTTTAAATTGGAGCTAAAGCTATTCGAATATTCCAGTAAGTTGCCAGTATAACTTTTTCTTAAGGTTATTTTAAAAGAATGTTCCAGTTCTATCATTTTTTCTAGACCTATTTAATCTCACATAAATCCCTTCAAACGATTTGCCATTTTTACTAAATTTGCTCTTTTGAGCCTAATTTTTGAATAAATTTGTCTGAATTAAAGATTTAAAATTAAAAATTTTTAAGTTTTTTCCTTTCCATTCAGATAATTATTATTTCCAGAAAAAATATGCGATATTCATGGATATTTAAGAGATTTATGAGTTGGTCAATTATAAAATCGAATTTATCCAACAATTTAACTTTATCAATTTTTGAAAATTAGTTTTTTATTTTCATTTCATCACCGAGCTTTTCAAAATCACCTGACAATGTCTAAATGATTCCTTGAACTCTGGCCTATTTATTTTCTATTTTTCAGTTCATTCTGATATCGTTCTATCTTTCTCTTAATTCTATCTGGCTATTAGCATGATACTGCTTCACTAGAATCTCGTAGCTAATAGTACGGGCAACAGCTGAATTTTTAGTGATAAGCTCATTCCGAAAATCAGCCACTTCCACACTAGGGCATGCTAGCAGGGAGTGCGCTAGTTGGGTGTCGGAAGCAACTGTCCAATTGTCTGAAAAAGCTGCCAAAGCACGAATGTCAGGTGATCCTGACTACCGGGTGCTTCGAAGATTTGTAACGAAAGTAGCAAAGCGGGACAAAAATCTCTATTGCAGTGACATGGCCTCAAGAATGGAGGCGGCGGCTTGATTAGGCGATAATAGGAAACTATTCTGCCTTCTTCATAA